AAATAAGTTCAGATCACATCAGATAAAAAAAATAAGTACAGATTAGATCAGATCAGAATAAATAAGTTCAGATCAGATCAGATCAGAAAAGTTCAGATCAAATACAAATTATTATTATTATTATTATTATTATTATTATTATTATTATTATTATTATTAAATAGCACAAACGATAAACGATAATAATTAAAATTTCATTATAAGCTCCAAATCATAAACGTTTACAAATATAATTTTCATTACAAAAAGTTCTAAATTTTCTTCGCTATATTAAGTTGTACTTCGTTCATTATAGCTTTACGATTCTCGTTAAACAAATCATAATCTGCTCTTGGTTCGATTTCTATACCACTATCAATGGATATATCCAACTCATGTAATCAAATAAAATTGTGAAGTGTGAATGTAGCAACCATAATTGTCAATTGATGTTTAGTGTCCATATTTGGCATCATTGTCAATATTTTCCATCGAGATTTTAAGTCCAAAACATCTCTCAATCGTTGTTCGAAGTGAAGAGTGAAGATAATTAAAAAGTTCAAGTATGCCTTGAGGTGGTGGACCATTTCGAAATTCGGGCATATGGGATCTAATATCTTTATCTTTTATTAGACTCAAATTGTAATACCCCGTATTTTTGAAAGGTATTTTCTAAATTAAAGAGTATTTTAGTCTCGTATTTTGACGTATATTTCTAAATTAATTAATTTTCTAAAGGGTATTTTAGTTTTGGAGGCAAAATGATATTTAAATTTTGGCGCCTAAATCATTTGTCTTATTAAAACTAATTAAAATGGATAATCCAATAAATGAAACTATTTTATACCTATGTTATAAAAAGTATTTTTGATTTCTCAAAAAGTAAATAGATAAACCGAAATTATATTAATTCGGTTAAAATAAATTAATTAAATTAATTAATTGTATTTTTTGGATTTTATATAATAAAAATCTGAATTGTTTTAATATCTTCCCAAATTAATTATTTTCATGAAATATATATTTATAAATTAATTAATTAAATTAGTTTCCTAAACTAATTATATGGTATTTTTGGATTTTAATAAATAAAAATCAGATTTAATTAAATATTTTCGTAAAATATATATAATTACAAAATATTTGAAATTTACATAGAAAATCCGAAAATATTGGATAATATTTTCGGCCACCATAATTTATTTAATAAATTAGACTAATTTCCTAAACTAATAAAAATAAAATTCTTCATTATATTTTTTCGGTTTTTTTTTAAATAAAAATATGATTTTATCTTTCAATTATTAATTTTAACAAAATAAATTTTATTGGATTATTAATTTTAGGCATAAAAATTATTTTACAAAATCTATAAAATTGACATAGAGGGACCGAAATTATTGAGCAATATTTAGCTCAATATTTTCGGCCACTCATGTTTTTTCTAAATGATTTTAATTTATTTTATTAAAAATAAAAATCCCTTAATATTCCTTATTTCTACTCTTAAATCTAGAATTTATTTGATCTTATTCTATACTTGCACTCCAAGCTCAAAACTTGCTAAACAAAAATTTCATGACTAAATAAAATCTAATATTCTTCCATACATTTAATTATTTTCTAAACTTTAAAACCCTAATTTCCATCCTTTGAAATTTACCATAATTCATACAACCCTAAATTGCTATAAACTCATCACCTAAACACCTATAAATACCCCTTGCAAACACCCAAGACTCACACCAAAAACCTCAAGAAATCTTCCTCTCTCTTTCTTTCTCTCTCACGGTTTTCCTCTCCTCTTCTCCTCCCTCTAACTTTCGGCCATCACCATCACCGGCGGCCCTCACCGGCGACCACCAGCCACCACTGCCGGCAACCACCACCTCTCACGACCGGTCACCTTGCTTCCTCCCTTGCCTTGGTTTCCATCTTCGTCCTTCAATTCCTCCTTTCTCCTAAACTTGTTTTACATTTCTAAAAATTTACAATTGAATTTCATATATATTATTATTGAATAAACTAATTTATAAAAACAGAAAATTATTTTATTAAAATGTAATAATAAATCATAATTAATTCATGCACATATAGGATAGGTTGGTTAAGTAGTTGTGCTTATTTGATAGCCTTATATTAATTAAGGTTATAATTACGTGTAGGGTGTTTGTGATTAAGTGAAGTGAAGTAATTGTGTGAATCGCTCGTGTTACGATCAAGGTACGTTATGTGGTTTGATACCTTTGAAAGTTGACTATGAAATTATATTTTAATATGTTCCGTATGAAATTATATTATATTGTTCCGTATGAAATTATATTTTATGTTCCGTATGAAATTATGTTATTACGTTCCGTATGAAATTATGTTTCATGAAAATTATGTTGTATGATGGATTGAAATTAATAATTTTGATTAAAACAAAAGAGACTTTGAATCGTGATTGAAATTATTATTAAAAAAAGGATTGGATTAAAAACGATTTACAAGTTTATTGTTATTCAAGTATAATGGATTTTAAAAGGTGCTTTTAAGCAAATCAATCGATATGTTATGAATCCCACTTAGGGAATGGATTAGAGAAGGCTATGGACTTTGTATGACTTAGTCTTTCCTCAAGATTGGCCTTTGTTCATAAAGTAAATCACTTGGGAGGTATGCACACTTAGTGAGGAATTGGTTTTGAAATGTAATCGATTGAGTTTTTATACTTGTCTTGAAAGAATTGAATTGGAAAAACTCTTATATGAGTATGATGTTGGGAAGATTGTTTTGGAACTTTTGGAATTAAACTTAAATGATTAGTTGATGTTTTACTTATCTTACACATAATCTACTTAGCATAATTTGCTAATATGTGCTTTTGTTTTGGCTTTGCCTGTTTACCATTTACGGTAAGCAGGTGAACTTTTCAGGTGGAAGTTGATTGATGCATATGGGAGTCCACGGGAATTTCACCTAGCTTAGGGAAAAGTTTGACTTTGTTTTTGTGTCATGAATAGTGAACAGTTTTATCTTGAAGTATTATTAATAAAGAATAAAGAATTTCCGCTGCAAAAGTATTTTGAAGTATAAGCCTTGCGTTTTCACGCGGCGGTAATACGCCCAAGTCTATTTCTACGGTATTTATACGTATTTTTCTACATAATCCATAGAGGGAGATTTGGGGGTGTTACACAAATATCCAACGGTATTCAGATATCCAGAATCTACTAGATAAATTTTCCCTGTTACAAAATAAAGTTATATGGCATATTAGTATAGTGTCATGTATGGAGTAAAAACATACACTATTCTAAATTATACCTGGAGGTGGATGGGGAAATCGAAATTCTGGTACGGTTAAGCAATGGTTCCATACAATAATATCATGAGCACTATCTTCAAATCCAACGTTGATAAACATGAAAAAGTCTATCAAAGAAACAAGCAGCCAAAACATTCCATGTTTTTTTTTCCAGAACGCCCTCGATATGCCACATCATCATCATCGCTTACAACTGCATTTACATGAGTCTCATCCAATGCTCCAACACAATCCTAATAGTTCATTAACATTTAAAGATACATTTTATAAGTGATTATATATTGCACATGCATAAAATAATATAATGACAATGAAAGATAATAATAATGTTTCTTAATACCTTGAAATATGGCCAATATTTTGTGTTGTCACTTATTTTTTTTTGGCACCTCACTGAAACTTTGGTATGGTCTTCTGATCTCGGTAGACAAATGAACTATTGCTTGCACTACTTGTTTAAAGTACAACCCAATTGTTGCAATGGAGGGAAAACATAATACTTTGCTTTTTCCTAAAAACACCCTCTTCAGAGCAAAACAATAATACTTGATCAAGTGGTTTTAACAAAAAAATTTGAATATCTTCTTACAAAATATTACTTTTTTTCCTACAAAAAAAAAAAGAAAAAGAAAAGAAAAAAGCAATAATAAACGAGCCTAACGTTTCCTATACAAAAAAATGAATATCTTCGTACAACATATTATGTATATTTTCATTTTTTTTTAGTTTCATATTTTTGATAACAAGCCTAACGTTTCCCATAAATAAATTTTTTTAAATTTCATATTTTCTTTCCTCCTATTCTGTCAAATACTTTTGTTTTATACAATTTTTTAATCTTCCACTTACCCCATCCATATATTATTACGTTTACCAATTTCTCCTAAAACTCCCCACATGTAAAAATGGAGAAGGTATTTAAAATCGAAGGGAGTATACGTACAAGGTTTTCAATAATAATAGCTATGCATTACTACAATTAAAATTAATACAAAGTAACATAGAAAATGTTGCTACTTCAAACAAACGATAAAATCAAATCCAATACATCATAAATCCATATTATTATTTAAGAATTAAGGTATTTAAAAACAAGTCAAATCTCCTTTTTTCTAAGTAGAAAAAAGCTATGATAAATTTAATCTGTAATTTAGTTTTTTTAGGATCCCCATTTTAATACTTTCTTATAAAAAAAATTCATTTATGAAGTGGGATACTGTAAATAATAAAATTATCAAATATTCCAATTCTATTACCTTATACTATCTAGTAATTTTAATACTTATAGGTTTCTTTAAAATATTTGTAATAATAATAATAATAATAATAATAATAATAAAAATAGTAATAGTAGTAGTAATAATAATAATAATAATAATAATAATAATAATAATAATAATTAAACATTAATATTGATTAACATTAAAAGTGATATATTGAAATAATTAAAATAAGTTCAAATCAGAAAAAATAAGTTCACATTAGATCAGATCAGAAAAAATAAGTTCAGATTAGATCAAATCAGAAAATATAAATTCAGATCAGATCGGATCAGAAAAAATAAGTTCAAATCAGATCAGATCAGAAAATATAACTTCAGATAAAAAAATATAAGTTCAGATCAGCTTAAATCAGGTGAACTAAACAAGGCCTAAACCAGCTCTAAATATATGAATATATATAGAGTATTTTTTTCACTTAACTTTTCCATTAACTCCCCCTTAAATTTGACGAGAATCGCTACGCGCGCATCAGCGTCCCTACTGTTTTCATCGCTTGTCAAACGGAAATCCAAATCCCCAAATTGGAAGTTTTACCCTAAACTCGACACCCTAATTTTTCACGCAGAAGCAATTCGAAGCAATTGAATATGGTACGCAATACCTTTAATTACTCACTATTCGATCGAATTTTAGATGAATTATCTGTCTCCTTTTAGCTTTTGTTAGCTTAATTAGGGTTTTGTAAAATTCGCTTAAGATTGAATGTTTGTAGCTTATTATTTGTAGATTTCTTTTTTGAATGATATAAATATTGAATAACTTGTTATCATGACTAATTGCTGAATGTGTCAAGCATATCTGTTAATTGTTGGATGAAACCATAGGTGTTTACAATTTAGATTAGGTTCGAGAACTTTTGATCACGATTATGGTGGATAAAGTTTGAATTACTCATTATCCGATCATCGAATTTCTAAATTCTCATATTTTATAAAGCTGTAGACAATTGGGATCAGGATGTTTCTTGAAAGTGTTTGTGGTGGCTGTTTTGATCATTATAGGTGGTATAGAAAGCTTTTTTTTTTTTTTGATTGCATTGTTATGATTTGGGTAGTATTGTGTCACCAATTTTACCATAAGCTATTACATTCTAAAGATTTGAATTGAACCGCTGGGTTAATATTGTTTCAATAACTTAAGTTTTTACTCCGTAACAACTTTGTATATATGTATAATATCAAGGAAAACTTTATTTTTTTTTGAAGAAAAATATCAAGGAAAACTTTATTTATAACAAGCTTTATTGATATTTGATAATATCAAATTTATGGTTTTACTGTCTTGTGAGTTGTGATCAAGTTCTTTATGACTTGCCAAAAATATGGTTTTTTTTTTTGGAAGATTAATAGAAAAATATCAACTATTAGAGCTTTCAAATTTGTGCCTTGATTTACCTTCAAATGATGACAAATTTGGATTTTTTAATGAACTAGCCCCCCACCTCCTTTTTGGTTTGATAAAACGGATTGATCTTGACTTTAAAACTATCTAGGTATGAAATTTTCAAGGCAAATAGATTTATTCAAGTAGTTTTTGAATACAAAATTTTAGGCCAGGTTTTTTGTTGTTAGTTTCTTTTGACATGTCTGCTAGTATGCCATACCAAGTTAAGCACCTGAGCATAATCAATGTTCTATCTGTCAGGAAATAAGTTTACCCAGTATTTTTCCGTGTGTAAGAATTGTAGAATGCTTCTAAACTATATATTTCAGTAGCTGTTCTTCAACGAATTGGTCATATTTTCCCTTTTTTGTTTCTCCTGTTTGGAGTATGTACATTTTGACATATAGCAAAGCATATGCCATTTTTATCTATGTTTGGATGGATTAAGGTTGGCTTGTTGTGTCACTCCTGCCCCCTGTTGCCTCAAATGAAAGATGAAAGAAACGAGAGAGGAAAATGAGAAAGTAGGTATGAGATAAAAAAATTGTTGTTGTAAATGGGAAGAATGAAGCATGGAAGCTTTTGGTGATTGGACCACATGACAATGATATAAAAGAAACAACTTTTTTGTAAACAACTTAGGGTCTTGTGGAAAGCAAAACAAGTACTGGTTGAACAATCCATAAGTGAAGCCGACAAAGACTTTTTAGGGAAATTGAAAATTTATTGGCTTAATAATTTGGACTTTGGCTCTATCAGTCATGGAGCTGGTAGGCATTTTTCTGTTTGGCTGTAGTTTGTTGACAGAAGGTCAATGTGGAAAAGTTAAATTACTATATAATCTACTTCAGCTACCTTGCTATCCATGCTCTGTTTACAGAATTCTAGTAATGACTTCCTTTGATGAGATATGAGCTACTAATAAAACCTCATATACTTTGGTACTTTCTCACCTTGAAAGTATGACCTATATGAGTCAGTGCAACTCACTTAGGCCTTGAATCTTCAAGAGAACAGCATGTTGTTGATTCTTTTACGTGACATTGATTTGATTAAGGGTGAGCATGGCATCAACAAATGCATGGACTTGCTTTATGGTACTTATTGACTTGGTGGAGAGGTGGAGAGCATGGCATGTCTAGATTGATGGTTTTGTTAATTAGTGACTTTTACTCTTGGAGAGGTGGGGAGCTTGAACATGTTTAGATTGATGGTTTTGTTGATTAGTGACATTTACTCTTTTTTTCACTGGGCTTTATTTTGTGTCTAAGAAAGTTTGTACCTGTTGGCTTTACCTAATATTTTCCTTGTTTGGGCTTTTGAACATGTGAAATTTCGGAATTTTGAACCTGTTTGGACTAAAAAAAGTTGCTGTGTTTGAGTAGTGGAGCTGAAAGGGAATTTTTTTTTTTTTTTCTTGTATCGTTTTTGACGTCTGAATAAGTTACCTGAGCTTCTCATGATTAGATTGCACTAATTCTGGTATTTGCTTGGTATACTACTCTTTTTAACTTCTGCCCGCTTGCTTCTGTTACAGTCTTCTCTTGCAGCAGCTCGAGCTGATAATTTCTACTATCCTCCTGAATGGGACCCAAGTCAGGTAACTATTGCATTTTCCATATGAAGATGTGCTTACATGTGATGATTCAATGATTTGAAATTTTTTTCTTAAATGTTCGGCATCCATTTTTACAAGCAAATTCTTTTAAACAGGGCGGTCTCAACAAGTTTAATGGTCAGCATGCTTTAAGAGAGAGGGCAAGAAAAATAGATCAAGGCATCCTAATTATAAGGTATGTAGTTCTTTCCAACTGGAATTTAGTCTGTGCTTCCAGTGTGTTGTTTGCAGATGAAATATGGCATGGAGTTTGAATTTATTGATAAGTAACAATGGTATACTGTATTGAATTTTGATACAGAACAGCTTATGAGTTTCTTTCTTTTCTCTCTCTCTCTGTTTTTTTTTTTTTTTTTTTTTTTTTTTTTTTTAGGGATTAATAACTGTTTAAGTGTGTGGCTCCCCCTTCAAGCATTATTTACAGCTCATCATAGTCTTCTCCTTATGTACCAATTACTAATCCTTCGTACCTTGGTAAAATTTGGGCATGAGGTCTTAAGAGAAGTTTTCAAAAGTGACTAGCAGTCTGCTTGCATCTCTATGGCTCTCTAGGGTTAGCAGAGCATTTGTTGAAGTTAGTTCTTTCTTCGTTTTTTCCCATTTCAAGTCTTTATGACCCACTATTCCGAATCTTGGTTAAGTAGAGAGCTTTTCTTTTTCCCAGTTGTCTTGGTTAAGATTGCTTGAAATAAGGGTATTATCACTTCAAGCATATAATTCGTTTTTTGAGGATCTTGTATTGTTGGAAGCTTGGACTAGTGCTTCGGCATGAGGATTAGTTATCATTCTTTGATTTTTGTAAATAAGATATTGAATGACTTTGCAAATTGAAAATTTGTGTATATGTCTATAATTTTTTCAGTATAAGAGACTTGTGAGGATTTAGCTATTGTTCCTTGATTTTGTAGATAAGTTGATGATTGACTTTTTAGGTTGAAAACCTGTGTTAGTTGTGTATATGTCTATACTTTATTTGGTATGAGAGACTTGTTAATTTAGGGGGCATGGCTTTTGGCCACATTGGAAAATGGTTGACATGCCTTTTTTTTTATTTTTTTATTTTTTAAACATGCCTCTGTATATCAAAAATGAAAGACAAAAATCTGATCAGTGATTTGTTTTTCAAATGAACAGGTTTGAAATGCCTTTCAATATATGGTGTGAGGGATGTGAATCTATGATAGCTAAGGGTGTAAGGTTCAATGCAGAGAAAAAACAAGTTGGAAACTACTACTCCACAAAGGTATTCTCTTTGATGCATGCCATTAATTAAAACAATTCTATACTTCGTTTGTTTTTTCATATTTACTGCGACTCTTCATAAGTATTATGATTTTTGTAATTTTGCAATGAAAAGCTCATGCCTATGTCTATATTATTACCTTCAATTGCCGTTTGGTCTTCATTTCTTCTCGTTACCAACTCGAGAGGTGGTAAAGAAAGTGTTGAGGAGGGAAACTGCATATTTGAGAGTGGAGATATATAATATCAAGGGAATTGTTGAGGGACATTTATTATTTATTATTTTTTTTAACTTTATACCCACACTCATTATCGCTGCCTTTATTCATACAATCATACCTTGTACTGAAAGAGTAATTACTAATTTCATATGTTGGACACTTGACGTGGACCTGACATATATACCCAACTATTTTCATTTCGACATCTCAGTTTTCTCGAATTACATATTGGTAGAAGAGAAATGTGGAAACTGAGGAAAAGGGAAGAGATAACTTTGTTATACAACCTAACTATTGGACATTATGGTTTAAAGTAAGATTCGGAGTACTAATCATTGTAAAATGCATCTGTACGTACATGTCACTTGTAACATGAAAGACACTTGGAAAAGTCCTTAAGAATCAAGAATATCTGCATTTGTTGTACTTTGCAATTGTCCATTTTTTAAAAATATACTTCCTTCGTTTCTTTTAGTCAGCACATCTCTTTAGGTACGTTTGCAATGCATGATTTCAAATGTTAATATCTTCAATTATTTAAATGAAAAAAACACAAAAGTTTATAATTAAAAATATACATTGAGACCAATTTAACAAGACCCCACTTGACTAGGGGTGAAAGTTCAGTGCACACCGAAATAATTCGGTTTTGGATTTTCCAAACCGAATCCAAACCGAATTAGAATTCGGTACAATCCAAACTGAAGCGAATTTCGAATAAATGTCTAAGTAAACAATAAAATGGATGAAATGGACTTTAACTCCATTCCAAAAGATCCAACCCAATGACCCCTAAAATTAAGCTTGTAAATGAGATGTTATTGATGGAAGTTATTGTGTTCTTTCCATATTTGTAAGATCATTTCACATTTGGCACTCTCTTGATTTCATTGTGACTTGGTTGGGTTTGTTGATAATTGCTTCGTCCTCTTTATAAGTGTTCGAATATTAATGTGTTTTGTATCTAGGTAATGAAGCACTGGCTAAGTTGTTTTTCATGATGATTAGTCTTTATCATTGATTACTTGATTCTTGTTTCAGATATGGAGCTTCACCATGAAGTCAGCTTGCTGCAAGCATGAGATTGAGATTCATACAGATCCTAAAAATTGTGAGTATGTGATTGTAAAGGGTGCCCGACGAAAAATTGAAGAGTATGACGCAGAGGATGCAGAGATATTGGAACTTCCTACTGAAGAAGGTTGGTAAATGTTTTTTTTCCCATGCCCATCAGTCCATCACAAATCTTTAGAGCTACTTTAGTTGTATGCCTGTCTAAGTAGCATCTTAGATAATCTTTGGAGGCATGCCTCGTAACCTACACTGACCTTATACTGAATTGTCTTGGATACTTCTCAAACCCCTATAATTGTTTTAATAGAACTTTGTTGGATTTGTATGCCTAATTGCTTACTTATGCCTAATATCAAACAAATATTTCAAAGATATTGTTTAGTGATTAAATATGGAAAATAAAGTTTTTTGTGAGATCTTGTGTGTTTTGATCAGTTGTATGTAAATATGTTGCCTCTGTATCAAAATTTGTTTGTGTTTTTATATTTTGTATTTTATTTGTGCGTGCTTGTATTTTAACTATGTATTTATATATCTCTATAATGTGATGTAGTAGAGACTGTTTTAGCCAAAATGATCTTGAAAGGTTTGAATTGGTTTTACTTGTTACGTAAGGTTCTATCTTGCACTCAAGTCAGGGGCTAGACTTACCGACTTTAATGACCCCCTCCCCAGACCCACCCCTGGAAAAACCAAGAAGTTACTGGCTTTTTTTTTAGAAGTCCAATAACTTTAGTTAAGGATGCCCTGATGCGCCGCACCCCCCCCCCCCCTTCTTTTTCTTTGTTAGCTTTGCTTTTAACTCATTGTTTTCTTCCGGTTCAGAAAGAGGTAAACTTGTGGACCCATTTTACCGTCTTGAGCATCAAGAGGAGGACTTGAAGAAGAAAAAGGAAGAAGAGCCAGTACTTGTACGTCTTCAACGTGCATCTGATGCAAGGCATTTTAATGACTATTCCATTAATAAAGCCTTACGGGCCCGGTTGAGGGTATGCTTACGTAAACTCAGCTTACTCTTGTCTCATGCTTATTCCTTGTACAGTCTGACTTGATATGAGGGTTTTTAAGGGAAGGGGAGAGGAGAGCTCGGGTATATCTGCCCTTGGATAATACTAATCTTGGAAGAATGCAAAGGCAAATTGCTTTTGTTATTCAAGAGTAGCTTGTCTTCCTCGGTGTCCCTCTGACCCTTCCCCCCCAACACGTTCCTCTCGTTCACTCCAAAATTGTTTTGAAAGACTAAACTTTTGTATTAATTGCATGCACAACCTTACAGAGTCAAAAGAAGAGAGTCGCTGAAGAAGAAGTTGCATCTAGGAAAAGGGGTCTTGGTATACGATTGCTGCCAGGATCCAGTGAAGATGCTGCCACTGCTTCCCGTGTGAAGTTTTCGACAAAGTTTGATGAAAATAGGAAACTAAAGCGAGCATTGATTTCGACCTCCTCGATTTTTGGTGGACCATCTGGATCTTCCTCAACGGATAATAGGCGCTTGGAGCTTGAGTCTAAAAGAAGAAAGATCAAAGCGGGTAAAGTTTCAAATCTGCTGGCTGGAGGATACAAGCCCTCCTCATGGGCAAAGAGTGGTGTTTCCTCAGGCAGACACAGGGCCTGAGAGACCAGGTGACTGAAGCGAGTAGAAACATGAATGGCGAAATGCAAATAAATACTTCGTGAAGTTTAAACAGAGCAAAAATTTGGCCACGCCAGTCTTCATTATCTACCTTCCATATGAAGTAACAAATTAGCCTCTCTTTGTATGCATGGTAGAACTCTGACTCTCTGAGTCTGTGACATGGAATGGCAAATATATTACAATTGGTTTTAACTTTGCCTTCGAAATTCGACATGTATATATTATTATAGGTCTTGTAAGTTTGTGTAATCTTTTATGAGTTTTTGATACGATAAGTTGATATGTTGATCGGGATTCCCTTTGTGCACTAAGTGACAGCAAGAAGCGTAATCCGAAAGTGATTTCAAAATAGAGGGCTTTTATGCAATTTTATCACAAATGTCATGTTCCATATTTGTTTACACTAAATCATTAGTATACAGTATCAACTAGTATGCTAAACTAAATCAGTCGAGTTTATGGAGTACTCGCATAATACTCTTCCCATATCAATTTTACCCACCTATAGCGTCTGAAATCTAAGATTATACTCCGTACATGTAATTTTAAGGCCATGTTTAGTAATTAGCTGGTAGCTGATTGATATAGCTTATTGTATTAGCTGATTTGACTAGCTGATTATAGGTTTGACTAGCTGGTTATAGGTTTGACTAGCTGGTTATAATTAGTTGATTGTATAAAAGTGTTTGGTAAATAGTTGTTAATTGTTAGCTGTTTCAGTGTATTTAAGAGCCAAAAAGCTAATTGTTCAATAATGAGCTTTTTCTAAAAGAGCTTTTTAAGCCCAAAAAGCTCTTTTAATAAGCTATTTACCAAACACCCAAATTAACTTTTTTGATTGGTCAAACCTCTAATTGGGCAAAATAAGCTAAAAACTCTTTACAAAACTCTTTACCAAACAAGGCCTAAATCTCCTAAGCTCACTCGTCAAACGTAGCATATACAGAACATAATTTGTAGCCCTGACTCGAGCAAGGAATTATTGACCAGCAGTGTTACGTTTGTACTAGCACTCATTTTCCCCAATATACATCCTTACTGATCAAAACCCCAATTTCTACATATGCGATAGTCTTCTCTAAAAACACACTTATCATTCAGTAGATTCTCGTCGATTCACACACGGACACACCGTGACACCGTGGTAAGCTTCACTCCTCCAGTTGATCACTCGTATTTGATTAATTCTGAACTTCAAATTCATGTATGCCTTGAAGAACGACATGTAGTACATAAGCAGAAAAGAAAATTAAGATTAACTTGGATGTATAATAATTTAGTGGGTGGGAAAATCAAAATATTTATTAACAGAGTTGTTACGTAATACTCTGAATCAAACAGTAAAGAGTGTGCGCTCAATGCATAAAAATAATAGGGACAAAGTGGTACAATATTACGGCTCCGATATTTAAGATGGCCTTGTTTGGAAGCAAAAAGGTATGCAACAGAATCCCCATATTTTCTATTTTCTATTTCCTGTTTTAGATTTATAGTTCCATACTCATTTTCCTTTTTTTTTTTTTCCTTTTTTCTTTTTTGACATTGCATACTCATTTTCCATTACCTACCAAATTTATATTTTCTTCCCTTTCTTTTCCCTATATCAATACTATTCCTATAGTAGTAGAATACTTCAAAAATATATAAATTTTGTTTTATATACTAGTATATTTTAATTAGAGGTGTCAAAAGCACACCCGATCCGATCTGATCCGAAACCGACCCAAAAAATATCCGATTTAGATTTGGACTCGCGTGGACATAATAATTTAACATGACTCAATTTTAGAAATTGACCCGACCCGACCCGACTTCATCAGACCCGATCCGATCATCCGAATAGACACCTCTAATTTTAATGTGTTATTCCAATGGCTACCCCAATAACACTCCCTTTCTCTTTAATTGGAGTAGCTACACTTGTACGGAGTAGTACATAAACAGTACACTCGTTGTATACTAGTTTTTGCTGTTTGGCCGGACCATTTCCTGAATTCCTAAGGTCGATCGTGAGACATTAGGATCACTTTTCAGGAAATGGTGAAAGGGGGAAGGAATGAAGGTTAAATTAACAATTGAAGAAGATAATTGATGTATTTATTTTGTTTAGCACTTGCACTTTAGCCTATATATATCTTTCTAGCTCCTTTGTTGTTATTCGTGGAATTCGAAATAAGAATTTTATCTAGTAAATATATAAGCTAGGGTATGTAATTTGCATGATACGGGTTGATGTTTGACTGTTTGTGCAAATATATTGTATTTAATGTTCAATTTCAGAAATTATTATCTTTTGTTGAAGCCCAGTATCTCAATTTATATATGATAAAATTGATGTTAAATCTTATGTTAGAAATTCTATTAAATTCTCATGTTTATAAGACTACATCTAGTATACTTCGTATTTAATATACGGCCATATGGACAAGTGTATGTTCTCTAATACAATTTCTCTTGTATAAATAGGTCATATTCTGAAAAAAAAAAAAAAAAAAAAAAAAAAAAATTGTCTAACCGTACATTAAAATACATTAAAAAAATTTAGTTAAAAGATGTAAAAAAATCATTTAAAGTTTAATAGTTACTAAAGATACTCAAAAATTAAGAAATACTTCATAAAGTCTAAAAGTTGATTCATCTATCCAAACATTTGGTCTAAAATTTTAAATAACTAGAATGTATTCATACTAATGCACAGGATATATTATTCGCGAAAAAAAGCGTACAAAGTATTATGAAATCCCTTGCTTTAAAAAAAAAGGGAAATTATTCCGTGTACCCCTGATGTTTTAAAAATATACCGCACACCTCTGAAAACTTTCAAATGCACCGTATACCCTTGATGTTTGTAAAAAAAAAAAAAATACACCAAATACCCCAAGACTCATAACAAATGGTAATTTTGTTAGATTGAGACCCCCTAAGCATCAAATTCTATTAAATTATTACAGTGTAACGTTAATGTAGTGCTAAATCATTTAATTATCAAGTAAACTTAGTTAATAAATCGAATTCTAACACCCAAAAATTAAGGATTTAGAATGATCGATGGAGTTCAAATTTTGATGTAATTTATGCTTTTAGGCAGTTTTACTGCATAAATATAAAGTATTATAAGAGAATTAGTGTGTGGGCATGATTTTTGTTTGATAAGTCAATGATATGTGCATTGTTGGATGATCGGGATATTTAGTGCATGTTTTTACAAAGCTATAGGAGTCATGGATACACGGTGTATTTGAAAGTTTTTAAGGGTACACAGTGCATTTTTCAAAACTTCAAGGGTACACGGAACAATTTCCCTAAAACAAATGAAATTAAGAAGTTAGTGGCAATGTGAGATAAATAGTTATTAGTTGGGTTTTCTTTTGAGGAAAATAAGTGAAATGTATAGAAATTGAATACTCCGTATTAGAATTTTGGAGAATTGTGGTTAAGTGTTATTGTATGACCGTAGAATTAATGAATTATTACAGAGTACTGTATATAGAAACGTCCTCCCAACACTTGGATTTTGTACTTTTCCCATTGATTTTGTTCAGGAGGCCCGAGGCCAGATATTATATACCATCAATTTTGACTTGACCACGCCTTGATAATATTTTGACCAGTTTGTAATCATGTTGCAAACGGAAACAATAGTCATGTCTAAAGCATAGTGTATACTACTACGGGCAATTAGGCCTCTACAAAACTATTCGAGAATCCAAAAATTCGAGAATTCGATTCGCAATCGATCCGAATTTTTGGAAATTTGATCCGAAAAAGCAGATATCGGATGCGGATTTGGATTTTGGTTTTTAAAAATTTGGGTATCCGATATCCGAAATGTAAAGGCTGAAATAGTGAAATATATATAAAAAAATTAAATTGTTCATTAAAACTGGCCCTATATTATTTTATTTTTTTTTCGAAACAAATCAGTTCATTAATAAAAAGCCATCCGACATCTACAAATGAAATCTAAATTAACAAATACATAAAATTGAATCAAATTAGGGTTTCCTTCAACAAAGCTACGATCGTTGAAAAGATCTTGCACTGTGGTACATCTCTCGCACACATCGCTGAAATATACAACCTTTTCGGATAGACGGTCTAACGATTTGTAGTAGCTGTAAGGATAATTCGTTTGAACGCATTGAAAACTTGACAACCGTTGCGATCTCGAACAAATCTTTACCAACAAACTGACAATAGGGCAAAAGATGATTACTTTTTGATAAACCCTAACACACAAACAAACCCTAAAACAAACAATTAAACTAACAAAAACTAACGACTCCACCACAGGGAGACACTCCACCTAGGGAGACGAACGAATATCTACACTACTCGTGTAGATTTATTGAAATCTAAATTGCAAAACTAAAGAAAATTAAGGGAAAAGGATCGGAAATAGTCTAATTTCCGAAGAAATTAGACTATTTCCGGCCTAAACGATTAAGATTTTGGAAAAACCCTAGAGGAGAGGAAGAGAGAAGAAAAGAGGAGAGGCGAGAGGCTCACAATTCCATAAAACACCTATATGTCAGTTAATAATGATGAAAAAAATGACCCTATATTATTAACTTATTATAATATTCTTAATATATTTGATGATAATATTTATTGCAAAAAGACTACTATTTTGTTAAAATATGTTGTACAACTTAGTGATAAAAAAGCGGTAAAATTAGTGAAATTTAGAAAGTAATCATAATCAATTTTACTTAATATTGGATAATGGATATCCGAAGCATTCGATCCAAATTTTGGATATCCAAATATCGGATATCCGAAATTTTCGGCTCGGATTTGGATATCAATGTCTGATATCCGAGTATTCGGATATCCGATTCGTGAACAGGCCTAATGTCAATTTTACTTTTTTTTTTTTTTTTTTAAAAAAAAAAAAAAAGCTATTGTGGACTATGGAGTATCAATCTACCATTAAACTGTACAAGTATATCAAATGTGTATGAAACTGAATGTTAACTATATTAGTTGGTTAAAATTTCGAATATAGATGGTATATATAAAATGTAATCAAATCATGCTCAAATTATTTACCCTTTGTGGCTCTAATTGACACTTTAAAAAATCAACGTTTTTTTGTTGAAGGAAAATATTTTTATTTAGGCTCATGTCAAAAAAAATAAAAAATAAAAAAATCTCATGCAATAGAGTTGTAAACCATTGAACTAATTTTGATATAATGTGAAGAGAGGAATTCAATTTACAGGATACTCTTACACAAATTAACATGAATCCATGCTGTGAAAATATGATAAAATTTTAGTCCAAAAGTAGATTAGATTGGTTAAAAAAAATAAAATAAAATAAATAAATAAATAAATAAAAATTAGA